GGTGACAAATTCTTTCAATTTGTATTTATTTTGGAAGGTCTTTATTTCACCTTCATTTAAAAATGAGAGCTTTGCAGGGTACAGTATTCTGGGTTGACAGTTTCTTTCTTTTAGGACTTGGATTATGTCTCACCATTATCTCCTAATGAGAAATTGGCTGTTTGTCTAATTGGGGATCCTCCGAAGGTAATCTGGTGTTTCTTTTGTATACATTTTAGAGTCCTTTACATTTTGCTGATGAAATTTTGACTATAATGTGTCATGGTGAAGATCTTTTCTGATCGTGTCTACTAAGACCTCTATGTGTTTCCTGTACTTGGATGTCCCCTTTCTCCAAATTAGGGAAGTTTTCTATCATTTCACTGAAAAGGCCTTCTAATCCATTCTCTCTTTGCATGCCTTCAGGGACTCCTAAACCATATACTTGATAGCTTGATAATATCCCATAAATCTCAAATGCTACTTTGTTTTTCTAATTGTTTTTGTCTGATTGAGATATTTCCAAGGATTTGTCTTCTAGCTTACTCAGATATTCATTCTTCTGACACACCAAGTCCGTTGTTGAGGATTTCCACTGTATTTTCTATTTGACATACTGAATTCTTCATTTCTAATACTTCGGTTCAATATCTCTTCAATATCCCAATCTCCCAGAAAAAAATTGTCATCCATACTGTGTATGGATTTCTCATGAATCTCTTTCTCTGTGTGTTTCTGAGTAATTTTATCATCATTGTATTGAATTAATTTTCAGGCATTCTATCAATCTCTTCATCTTCACATTCTAATATTGAGGTGTTGTGTTCCTTTTGGGGACCTGTGTTGTCTTCCTTATTCTTATATTTCTGTTTATTTTTAGACATTTGTGGAAATAGTTGTTGGTTTTCTCCTCTGATGAGTTTTATCTTTGAACTATGCCACCGTAGCTTAATGGAGTGTCTCTCCCTTCAGTGGATATCCAGAGAAGTGTGCCGGCTGAGGGCAGGGAACTCTGGCCTGTGCTCAAGGGTAGGGCGAGAATCCAGGGTGACACTCAAGTTGGGCATGGTAGATCCCTTCTACTGTCAGCAGAGGGGAGGGGACGATCATGCCTGTTGGTGTCCTCATCTTTTATTCCAAGGCGATCAATGTCAGGGTTAGCCCACAGGGGGGACAACCCGCACCCACACAGGTGCATTAACTGCACAAGGATCTATGCAGTCCTGGGTGTGAGCACAGAATCCTCTGCAATGAGCCAGCCCAGGCAGTCAGGGAGCGCTGAGCCTGATGTCAGACACAGTGACGGTCCACCCAATGCCCTGTCGTGCACAGACTCCCCACAGTCACAGAGAGCAAGGCTCCTGCAGTCACGAACTGCAGAGGACCCACTCTCAGCCCACGAGCCCACCCACCCACAGACAGCAGAGACCTTCCCAGAGCCATCTGCTGTACGGCTCCACCCTGTGCCCCAGAGCCTGTGTACACCGAGGGGATGCGAGCACCTCACGTCCTAAGTGGTGCCCAGCCCCTTGCCAACTCTCCCAGCCAAAGTGGGGAATGTGGGTTTTTCCCCTCTGGTAAAATCCCCTGGTCACACACGTGAGCTGTGGCAGCCTCTACTGGTACCACGATGGCACTTTCTCCCCAACAGAAGCCAGGTACACCCCGCCCCCTGCTAGGGCTCCAGGCCAGACTCAAAGTCAGTGTGCCCACAAGTTTCTCCCTCAAGCAACACCACCAGTGGCACAGGCTGCTGCCATCCGCTCTCGCCTCTCTCTCGGAAGCTGCCATCTCCTCCAGCCCCCGCTGTGGGAGTCACGGGTCCCTGCTCACTGCTGCGTGTCTGCACTTTCCACACTGCCCCATGGCATCCCTCTTCTTTCTGTAGAATCTCCACTGCAAACGTCTCTCCAACGCTCCCCTGGGAACGCACTTCTACTACTTCTGCTATCTCCCCTGGTCAGAATCAGCTCATCTTTTCCCTATTCAGCCATCCTGGAATCCCCCTAATTAATTAATAATTTAGACACAGAGGGAGAGAGAGAATCTCCCATCTGCTGGTCCATTGTCCAAATGCTACTGATTTTCTGTATATCGATTTTGTGTCCTGCAACCTTACTGAATTCATGTATTAGACTGAGTAGTTGTGTGTGGAGCCTGGGAATTTTTACACAAGGCTACGTCATCTGCAAATACAGGTAATTTCACTCCTCCCTGTCCAGCTGGGATGTCTTTTCTTTGCCTTCTCTGATTGCCCTTGCCAAGTACTGCATGTGGAAGAGCACCCTAACCCCTTTCCAGATGGTTACTGGACTTGTGGCGTTGGCCGTGCACTGTCCCCTTTCCAGATGGTTACTGGACTTGTGAGGTTGGCCGTGCACTGTCCCCTCTCCAGATGGTTACTGGACTTGTGAGGTTGGCTGTGCACTGTCCCCGTTTCAGATGGTTACTGGACTTGTGAGGTTGGCCGTGCACTGTCCCCTTTCCAGACGGTTACTGGACTTGTGGCGTTGGCCGTGCACTGTCCACTTTCCAGATGGTTACTGGACTTGTGGCGTTGGCTGTGCACTGTCCACAAACGGTCCTTACTGTGCTGAGAGACTTTCCTTCTATGCCTGACCAGCGGATGCTAAGAAGGCTGGACTTGGTCAAGCACTTGCCACTGAATTGATTGGCATCTACTGATGTGAGGTACCTCACTGATTGATTTGTTCAACAATCCCTGTGGGTCAGCGCTGTCGCATAGTGGGCTAAGCCTCTGCCTGGGGCACCGGCATCCCATATAGGCACCAATTCATGTCCAAGCTGCTCCTCTTCCAATCCAGCTCTCTTCTTATGGCCTGGGGAAGCTGTGGAAGATGGCCCAAGTGCTTGGGCCCCTGCACTCATGAGGGAGACCCAGAAGAAGCTCCTGGCTGCTGGCTTTAGATGGCCCAGCTCTGGCCATTGCAGCCATTTGGGGAGTGAACCATCAGATGGAAGACCTCTCTCTGTCTCTCCCTCTCTCTGTAACTCTGCCTCCCAAATAAATAAATAAAATCTTAAAAGAAAAAACAATCCCTGCATGCCAGGATAAACCCCACTAGGTCATGATTCAGTCTTCCAGAAAAGGAACGAGGGAGCAAGACAGCAAATGTAAAACAACAAAACAGCAGAAGCTCATACCTAACAATAACACCTGACTACCAGTAGGCTGGAGTCTCCAACCAACAGACACAGAGTGGGAGCCCCTGTGGCACCGGGGCAGTGCCCTGACCTGTGGCCCCAGCACCGGGGGCAGTGCCCTGACCTGTGGCCCCAGCACCGGGGCAGTGCCCTGACCTGTGGCACCGGGGCAGTGCCCTGACCTGTGGCCCAGCATCCCCTGTGCGCACCCGTTCATGGCCAGCTGCCCCACTTCCAATCCAGCTCCCTGATAACGGCCTGGGGAAGCAGTGGACGATGCCCGAGTGTGTGGGCCCCTGCACCCACGTGGGGGACCTGGATGAAGCTCCTGGTTCTTGGCTTTGGCCCAGCCCAGCCCCGGCTGCTGCGGCTGCCTAGGGAATGAACCAGGGGGGGAAGTGCTCTCGCTCGCTCGCTCGTTCTCTCTCGCTCTCTCTCTCTCTCTCTCTCTCTCGCTCTCTCTCTCGCTCGCTCGTTCTCTCTCGCTCTCGCTCTCTCTCGCTCTCTCGCTCTCTCTCGCTCTCTCTCTCTCGCTCTCTCTTGCTCTCTCTCTCTCTAACTCTGCCTTTCAAACAAATAAGTCTTTAAAAAAATACATGGAGTAGATATAAAACAGACCCCATGTGTGCTGCCTGCAAGAGTCTCACGTAAGCTTTAAAGACAGACTTAGAAAACTGGAAGGATAGAAAGAGATATTCCATGTAAGGGACAACCCAAAAAGAGCAACTGTGGCTACACTTACCCCTGATGTATGAACTTTAAGTCAGAAAACGCCACGGTCTGGCACGGCGACGTAGCAGGCTAAAGGCCTGGCCTGCAGCGCTGGCATCCCACAGGGGCGCCGGTTTGAGTCCCCGCTGCTCCACTTCCCATCCAGATCTCTGCTATGGCCTGGGAAAGCAGTAGAAGATGGCCCAGGTCCTTGGGCCCCTGTACCCATGTGGGAGACCCAGAGGAGGCTCCTGGCTTTGGATCAGCACAGCTCTGGCCATTGCGGCCATCTGGGGAGTGAACCAACAGATGGAAGACTCTCTCTGGCTCTACCTGTCACTGTTACTCTTTCAAATAAATAAAATAAATCTTTAAAAAAATAAGAAAGTGTCACCAAAGAAGAAAAGGAGTCAATTTATCAGGAGAATTTAACAATTCTAGATACACACATACCGAGCATTGCAGCAACTAAAAACAAAAAGCCAATACTAACGGACACATGGAGGAGAGGGGTAGCAACACAAGCACAGGAACTGCAACCCCCACACCCTCAGCACTGAGTAGGCCTTCAACCCCCACACCCTCAGCACTGAGTAGGCCTTCAACCCCCACACCCTCAGCACTGAGTAGGCCTACAACCCCCACACTCTCAGCACTGAGTAGGCCTTCAACCCCCACACCCTCAGCACTGAGTAGGCCTTCAACCCCCACACCCTCAGCACTGAGTAGGCCTACAACCCCCACACCCTCAGCACTGAGTAGGCCTACAACCCCCACACCCTCAGCACTGAGTAGGCCTACAACCCCCACACTCTCAGCACTGAGTAGGCCTTCAACCCCCACACCCTCAGCACTGAGTAGGCCTTCAACCCCCACACCCTCAGCACTGAGTAGGCCTTCAACCCCCACACCCTCAGCACTGAGTAGGCCTACAACCCCCACACTCTCAGCACTGAGTAGGCCTACAACCCCCACACCCTCAGCACTGAGTAGGCCTACAGACAGAACGTTTCGGAGGGATAACAGGAGTGAACTTTGCACTTCTGACCCACGAAGCTGACAGAAACGGACAGAGTTTGGCAGACGCGGGCTGCAGCGGGAGGAACCGCGTCTGCGACTTCTGTCCCACAGTTTGTCATACTAACCGGGTTGTTTCTGACTCACAGGCTTCGTTCTTTTCCCCTTAACAGTTCCACAATAGAGTGGAGATGTGGGTGAGACGCAGGAGCTGAAATGAAACAAAACCACACTGTGAGAGCAAACAGCTGTGAGACAGAGCTACGTCAAGGAAACACGCACTCTAAGGATCACAATGAGTAATTCATGGTGCGATGCACAGACAGTATTCAGAAAGGAAACTAGCAAGATTATTCTTACTCCAGCAGGAGAAAAATTAATATATCTTAATCAAAGTACAATTCTATAGCTTCGATTATATTCCAGAATAAAATAATATCTTGCATGGAAATACACTCTGAACCACTTAGTGTTAAACAAGATAGAAGCAAAGGCCGGAAGAACAGTTCTTCAGCATGGTGGTGTAGCTGGGAGTTCACGAAACTTTACTTGCATTCTTAACAGGAGGCATGCAGATGCTGGGCCCCGCTACAGCCGTGAGGGCTTCACAGGGAGCAGCCCGTACCTGGCCAGCACAGAGAGGCTCTGCCCCGCGGCCGGGCTCCCCTGAGACCTCAGCAGGGCCTCCACGTCGACGTCCAGCACGGCAATCTCATTTCCAAACAAGGAGGTGAGCAGGCACACCGCCTGTGGGGCGGAGCCGGGAGAGAATCGTCACGTCACCCACAAGATGACACCGCTGTAGCCGTAAGCAGAGTTAAAATTTAAGTTTCTTCATCTACACTAATAGTCACTCTGGTTGACTGGGAAAGTAGTTGCACAGTACTGTATAAATGACAAAAACATTTCGATTATAAAATCTCATTACTTAGCAAGCTGAAGAAAGCAAGTGTAAATCAAAAGTAGAGATAAGCACGCTACAGGTGTATCATGGGAAATGTTTGATGACCAACCTTATGATCAGAGTATGCTACAGGTGTATCATGGGAAATGTTTGACGACCGACCTTATGATCGGAGTATGCTACAGGTGTATCATGGGAAATGTTTGATGACTGACCTTATGCTCAGAGCGTGTCACAGGTGTATCATGGGAAATGCTTGATGACCGACCTTGTGCTCAGAGTGTGTTACAGGTGTATCATGGGAAATGTTTGATGACCGACCTTGTGCTCAGAGTGTGTTACAGGTGTATCATGGGAAATGTTTAATGACCGACCTTGTGCTCAGAGTGTGTTACAGGTGTATCATGGGAAATGTTTGATGACCGACCTTGTGCTCAGAGCGTGTCACAGGTGTATCATGGGAAATGTTTGATGACCAACCTTGTGCTCAGAGCATGTTACAGGTGTATCATGGGAAATGTTTAATGACCGACCTTGTGCTCAGAGCGTGTCACAGGTGTATCATGGGAAATGTTTGATGACCGACCTTGTGCTCAGAGCGTGTCACAGGTGTATCATGGGAAATGTTTGATGACCGACCTTGTGCTCAGAGCGTGTCACAGGTGTATCATGGGAAATGTTTGATGACCGACCTTGTGCTCAGAGCGTGTCACAGGTGTATCATGGGAAATGTTTGATGACCGACCTTGTGCTCAGAGTGTGTTACAGGTGTATCATGGGAAATGTTTGATGACTGACCTTGTGCTCAGAGTGTGTTACAGGTGTATCATGGGAAATGTTTGATGACTGACCTTGTGCTCAGAGTGTGTTACAGGTGTATCATGGGAAATGTTTGATGACCGACCTTGTGCTCAGAGTGTGTTACAGGTGTATCATGGGAAATGTTTGATGACTGACCTTGTGCTCCTGGGCTCCACTCATCACGGCACATGACCCAGCAACTCGAATGCTAAGGCTCCGGAAATCTTGATTTTCAAACATAAACAAACGACATTTTAGAGGCCAGCATTCGCTGGCTGCTCTGCCTCCTGTCTGCAGGCGCCCCCCCCAGGCCAGGCCCGGCGCTGGGGCCCTCACCAGGGAGGGCATGGCTCCCTCCTCTCGGGCAGTGTGGGCTGGTGGAGAAGCCAGAATCCAGCATGAGATCACAACATAAACGAGTCGTGACAGTGCTGGGGAAGAAATAGTTTGCCACAGGAACCTGCAACCCAGTCTGAAGACAGAGACTGGCAGCGAGCTGGGAGGCCCGGGGCAGGGGGAGGCAGCCACGTGGACAGGCAGCCGACAAGAGCGCGCGGCCTCTGAGGGGGTGGAGCCGACGTGCGCCAGGCCAGTCTCCACGCAGGAAGCCACAGGCGCCTCAGAAGGTTACAGCAGGGATGATAATCGAATTTGCTGAGAAACCAGGGCGGCTCCGGGACTTCTGACCAGAGCAGGAGATCGGCTGGGGCTCTGGGCAAGAGAAGAGGAGGAACTGGAAACTCTTGGACTGCGTGTTCCTGGGCACGCGTGTGGCAGGAACAGGTGAGGCGTGGTAACTATTCGCACAGTTCTGCTGGGGACATAGCGGAGGCGAGGGCCAGGACTGGATGGCTGAGACACCCTGAGGCCAAGGAGCTGGCGAGGACGTCTGGGGCAGACGTCAGGTGCTCTGCAGGGATCAGGGACGATGCTGGCAGAGCCTTGGAGAGAATGCCCGACATACACGGGCACGCGGGCTGTGTGCATCTGCCACTAACTGAACACCTCTCACCCTCGAACCTAAACGACAAGGTTTCTACACCAAAACTTTTGACTAACCCAGGCATCAGTCAGGTAAAAAGTCTAAAGTCCTATGCAATTTCTATCAAAGGCTATTTGAATTCATGATCTTACCCTTGTACTGTAAAACAGCTTCCAGGTCAAAGTTCGCCAGGTTCAGCATGAACAAGCCGGAGGAGCTCCCAACCCACAGGCGTCTGGAGTCCTGGGAGGTGCAGCTGGCACTGAGGGAGGGAGCAGCATCCTGCTGACCCGACGCCTCGCAGCCAGGACCACACCGCCCGCTGAGCACCTGCTGGTTCCGATTCTCCTCACAGGAGGGGGGCAGCCACGTGGCTCCAGGCCCCTCAGCGACCCTACCTGCCGAGGTGGTTGGTTCCTACAACTTGTAAGTACCTTCTGAACTCACTGCTGAGATTCCCAGGTACCCACAGTCTACTGAAGACAACTAACTCAAGATGGCCATAGCCTGGCACCTGACCCAGCTCCACTCTGGAGTGCACGGGACTTGTTCCCTTCCAAGGTGACGGAGGAGCCTGGAACCTGCATCCTTTATCGGCCCACCCCTCAGGGGAGCGTCTCAGCCCAGGTGAGAGTCACCCTCAGGGGAGCACCCTGCTCCAGGGAGCATCCTGGCGCCTACAAGCCCAGGTGGGCATCCGATGCCACGGCAGCCGCCTAACTACAGATGCTGCCAGCTGCGTCTGTGATGACGAAATACACTCAAGTAGAAAACCCACTGGCCCACGGAGCAGAGTGACACGGACGCCACCACAGGTGTGAGTGCTGCTGTCAGCCGGCAAGCGGACAGAGCTCTGTGCGGGGTGCCAGGCCTGGGCTCGCACGTGCCCCCAGCTCCGCTGTGCTCGCAGGCCCTCCTCCTCTCAGGGCAGCCCCAGCTGCAGCAGCAAAGCAGCCTTCACCTCCCGTGGGTTCATCCTTGGGCCCAGCTGACCAACTGCCCAGTTTCACCATTTGCAACGAACCAGGCACCCTGAGGACGCTCACGGCCAGTCATAATCAGATGGAAGCTATTGGGCTCCAGTTTAGTCATTCTTCAAAACTGAACCTATTGGCCATTTCATCCATTTAAGAGGTTTTCTTTCTCTGGCTTTGGCCAGGTTCACCACACTTACAAACCACACTCGGAATTCAGAACAGGTGAAAGGTCACAGTGTCCAAAGCTCAGGATGGGAAGTGTCACTTCGACCTCTTCTCCTTCCGGTTCATTTGTGGAGCGAAGCTGCCTCTCACCTAAGGAACAGAATCACTGGTATCTGAGAAACGAGATGAATCATCAATCAAGTTGAAAGGCCAGCAACTGAAGGGGCATTTGGCGCAGCGCGGTGAAGAAGCTGCTCGGGACACCTGCGCTGCGTGTCACCGCCTGGTTTCCTGTTAACGTGCACTCTGAGAGGCACAGACAATGGCTCCACTACGTGGGTGACTGCCACCCATGTGGGGAGCCCAGATGGGGTCCCTGGCCCTTTGCTTGGGCTTGGCCCAGCCCTGAGTGTTGCGTAGTTGGAGAATAAACCAGCAGATGGAAGACCTGTACGTATGTGTGGGTCTGTCTCTGTCTCTTCTTTTCAAAGAAAGTGAAGATAAATTCCCAGTAAAGGCGAGTGATTAATACAGAGGAACGCAGCAGTGAGTATATCCCGAGAATAGCCGAACCCAACTAGGAAGGGCTGCACTCCCTCCCGACTGTGCCCTTGCAGTGAGTATATCCCGAGAACAGCCTAACCCGACTAGGAAGGGCTGCACTCCTGACTGTGTCCTTGCAGTGAGCATATCCCGAGAACAGCCTAACCCGACTAGGAAGGGCTGCACTCCCTCCCGACTGTGTCCTTGCAGTGAGTATATCCCGAGAACAGCCTAACCCGACTAGGAAGGGCTGCACTCCTGACTGTGTCCTTGCAGTGAGTATATCCTGAGAACAGCCGAACCCGACTAGGAAGGGCTGCACTCCCTGCCGACTGTGTCCTTGCAGTGAGTGTATCCCGAGAACAGCCGAACCCGACTAGGGAGAGCTGCACTCCCTCCCGACTGTGTCCTTGCAGTGAGTATACCCCAGAACAGCCTAACCCGACTAGGAAGGGCTGCACTCCCTGCCGACTGTGTCCTTGCAGTGAGTATATCCCGAGAACAGCCGAACCCGACTAGGAAGGGCTGCACTCCCTCCCGACTGTGTCCTTGCAGTGAGTATACCCCAGAACAGCCTAACCCGACTAGGAAGGGCTGCACTCCCTCCCGACTGTGTCCTTGCAGTGAGTGTATCCCAGAACAGCCTAACCCGACTAGGAAGGGCTGCACTCCTGACTGTGTCCTTGCAGTGAGCATATCCCGAGAACAGCCTAACCCGACTAGGAAGGGCTGCACTCCCTCCCGACTGTGTCCTTGCAGTGAGTGTATCCCAGAACAGCCTAACCCGCCTAGGAAGGGCTGCACTCCCTGCCGACTGTGTCCTTGCAGTGAGTATATCCCGAGAACAGCCGAACCCGACTAGGAAGGGCTGCACTCCCTCCCGACTGTGTCCTTTCTCTTTGCTGATGAACCTTACTCCTCCGCTATCCACCTATACCTCGTGCTCAAGTTGCTTTGTGCATCAGCAGACAAGAACCCTGCAACACAAGCCCGGGGGTTCCAGTTAAGAACCAGGAAGGACAGAGAGATCACTGTTAGCTCCCTGAAGTTCTGCACGTCTTACAGATTATGATTAAACATTGTGTTAGTGGAGTGGTAGCAGAGCAGCAGAGTGCTCCCATCCACTGGTTCTCTCCCCAGACCCCTAAGATGGGCAGGGCTGGGTTAGGCTGAAACCAGGAGTCAGAAAGTCAATCTCCTTCTCACAATGGCCTGGGATGGACATGGATCCTTCTAACCATGGCCCACGATGGCTGGGGATGGACGTGGGTCCTTCTAACCACGGCCCATGATGGCTCGGGGATGGGCGTGGGATCCTTCTAACCACGGCCCACGATGGCCTGGGGATGGACGTGGGATCCTTCTAACCACGGCCCATGATGGCCTGGGAATGGACATGGGATCCTTCTAACCACGGCCCATGATGGCTCGGGATGGACGTGGGATCCTTCTAACCACGGCCCACGATGGCTCGGGGATGGAAAAGTGATCATTCTAAGCACCTCTCTCTTTCTCTCTTTTTTTTTTTTTTTTTAAGATTGAGTTACTTATCTGAAAGTCAGAGTTACAGAAAGAAGAGACAGAAAGAAAGTGAGAGAGACAGAGAGATCAACCTTCCAATCACTGGTTCACTACCCAAGTGGCTACAACAGCCAGGGCTGAGCCAGGAGCTTCATCCAGGTCTCCCATGTGGGTGGCAGGGGCCCAAGCACTTGGGCCATCTTCCACTGCTTTCCCAGGCCATTATCAGGGAGCAAGATCACAAGTGGAGCAGCTGGGACATACACTGGTGCCCATCTGGGATGCTGGTGTCACAGGGAGTGGCTTAACCCACTATGCTACAACGCTGGCCCCTCTAACCCCCTCTTATGATGGTCAGGAATAGACGTGGGATCATTCTAACCACCTCTCAGGGTGCCTCAGGAACAGACATGTGGCCATTCTAGCGATTTCTCACGATGGCTCGAAGAATGAACATTGATTCAGTCAGCTCCATGCAGGCTGAGGGGGACAATCCTTGGGGCTCCTGGAAAAGATTTCTGCCTCTGGTGCACGGAGACATACCATTGTCTTTAAAAATAGTTATTTTTTCTCCTCACTTTGCTCGGAAGGGCTTTGGCCATTTACAGCCATGAGTGGGGACACCACAGAAACACTGAGGATGACTGGATGGAGGACACCCCTGGCTCCTCAATGACATTGTCATGCGGCTGAATTAAACTATTCAGTAGGGCTGGCGCTGTGGCTCACTTGGCTAATCCTCCGCCTGCAGAGCCAGCATCCCACATGGGTGCCAGATCCTGTCCCGGTTGCTCTTCTTCCAGTCTAGCTCTCTGCTCTGGCCCGGGAGGGCATTGGAGGATGGCCCAGGTCCTTGGGCCTCTGCAGCCTCATGGGAGACCAGAAGGAAGCACCTGGCTCCTGGCTTCAGATCTGCGCGGCACCGGCCGTGGCGGCCATTTGGAGAGTAAATCAGCGGAAGGAAGACCTTTCTGTCTGTCTCTCTCTCACTGTCTGTATCTCTACCTGTTATATATGTTAAAAAAAAAAAAACTATTCAGTAAATGGATAGCCACCCATGTGGGGAGTGTTCAAATGCTGCATATTGCAAAGAAAGGAATGGCCTTGGGGTTCCCGGGAAATAAACTCTAAACTGTTATCTTTCTTGGTAAGACCATCCTTGCACATCTTGGGTCTTGGAACACACGACTGGTCTGACCTCTGGAAAGACTAGAGACCGCATAACTCGGGTCACTTATGCAGGCGCCTGTGCCTACTGGAGCCCGCGTAACTCGGGTCACTCATGCAGGCACCCATGCCCCCTCCCCAATGAAGACTCTGGACACCAACACTCAGCAGAACGCCCCAACTGATGATCCTTGTATGTATCGTACAGATCACCGTATAGCTCCGATGGGAGAAAAAACTGGAAGTTTGGAAATGTTTGCTCCTGAATTCCAGCTTATGCATCTGTCTCCTTTACTACATTTGCATGACTTTACTATAAGGATAATCGTGGGCCGGTGCCATGGGTCACTGGGCTAATCCTCCGCCTGCAGTGCTGGCATCCCGGGTTCTAGTCCCAGCTGGGGCGCCGGATTCTGTCCCAGTTGCTTCTCTCCCGGTCCAGCTCTCTGCTGTGGCCCTGGAGTGCAGTGGAGGATGGTCCAAGTGCTTGGGGCCTGCACCCGCATGGGAGCCCAGGAGAAGCACATGGCTCCTGGCCACGGTGCACCAGCTGCAGCGCGCCAGCTGTAGTGGCCATTTTGGAGGGGTGAACCAATGGAAAGGAAAACCTATCTCTCTGTCTCTCTCTCTCACTAACTCTGCCTGAGAAAGAAAGAAAGAAAGAAAGAAAGAAAGAAAGAAAGAAAGAAAGAAAGAAAGAAAGAAAGAAAGAAAGAAAGAAAGAAAGAAAGAAAGAAAGAAAGAAAGAAAGAAAGAAAGAAAGAGAGAGAGATTGATTTCAGTAATAAACAGGAATACATAGCATAAACACAGCAATGAAAGCCAAGGCCTGAGCCATCAGAAAAACACAGGCGGCAGGGGAGGGAGAAGCGGCGTCCCATATGGGTGCTGGGTCAAGTCCCGGCTGCTTCACTTCCAATCCAGCTCCCTTGTGAGGCTCCTGGGGTCAGCCTGGCCCAGCCCTGGCGGCAGTGTGGGGAGTGAATCAGCAGATAGAGGATTTGTCTCTCTCTCTACCTCTGCCTCTCCTTTCCTGTGCCTCTTTCAAATAAATAAAAAAATCTTGAAGAAAGAAGAAAGAAGAAGAAGAAAGAAGAAAGAAGAAAGAAGAAGAAGAAGAAGAAGGAAAACCACAGGCCCGTTGGATAAAGGTAATTTCTAACCTCACACAACAGGAAACCATATGAAGCCATCTGCAACAAACACAAACTGCAAGAAAGAGTAAGGAGACATCCACGGTAACCTCAAAAGTCCTCGAGGCCCATGAAGGACAGGCACCAGCAGCACCAAAACTGACCAGCACTGTTCCCAGTGGGGCCTGCTCCTGGGATGTGCAAATAGGGCTAGGATGTGGACAAGGGCAGCTACTCGGGGAGCAGACCAGGTGGGCCCTGCAGGGTGTGCAGTGCAGAGCATTCGCCTGCTCATCAGGAACCGCCGCTGGGACTGAGGGCGGCCACCCTGACCCCCACGACAGCCCCTACACCCCACCCCTCGTACCTGTGTCTGCACCCCACTCCTCTGTCCCTCTCATGACCCGCCCGCGCCCAGCAGCCATCTGAGGCTTTTTCCGAATGAGGGCTTGCTCCTCGGTGGTCTCTGCACTTCCTCCAGCGGGGCCCTGGACCGGGCGCCCTGGGACGCAGAGGCAGCCCTCAGTCACTCATCACTCGCACGCGCTGGGGAGGGGACAACGCACCTGGCAGGGTGCACAGCCGGGACTTCAGCCTTCGAGTGAAGAAGGCCTCTCTCCTCTTCCTCAGGTCCACGCGGGCCACACAGCGGTATCGATGTCTTTCCGCCAAACTGAATATCCACAGCTGTGAAAGCAAGGCACAGGGACGCACACCGCTCACCACGACACCATGGGGTGACCCGGGGGTGGGGGCACAGGCCGGAAGTGCACGCGCACCATCCTTCCGCTGCCCAAGCCCCAGCTCTGATGGGCTCGCCAGGGCAGACGCTGGTGTTGGGTCAGGCCGAGCTCTGCTGCACGGGCATCCAACAGCCCAGGGCCAACTCTCCACACACAACACGGTGCGGCTCCAAAGCCATCTGGTGACGAGACTCAGGGAGAGACCAGAAAAGCTCCATCTCCACATTTGTAGCTTTCTCAGATCCTGTCGACAGCAACTTTCTCCACACTTTCTGAAATAACCCCACAATAATCGCTCCCAAACTCTCTGAAACTTCAAACTTTCAGACACACGCAGCCGACGCTCTCGGCTCTATGGGCAGGCCCTGGTGAGGTCCAGGGCCACACGTCAGCTTCTGGACAGTGGCTCACCCACTCCCCCGATGCCCAGGGGCCCACGCCGCTGACGCACACGGGGCCCCTAACAGGCCTCTCACCTGGCCGTCGGCTGACCCAGTGACAAGCTGCCTGCTGCCTGCCTCAAGGAACAAACTCAGGAGAGGACACGCTGTGGAGAGAGCAGGAGACACAAGCTTCATGAGCACCTGCTACCTTGTGAGCCAAAACTATCCGTTTTACTCACAATATTTTTTGAGACTTATTTTGTTTGAAAGGCAGAGTTACAGTGAGAAAGACAGTGACAGAGAAAGAGAGCTTCCCTCTGCTGGTTCACACCCCAGACAGCTGCCAGGAGTTCATCGAGGTCTCCCACAGGGTGACAGAGGCCCAAGCACCTGTGCCATCTTCCGTTGCTTTTCTCAGGCCATTAGCAGGGAGCTGGGCCTGAGATCGAACAGCTGGGACTTGAACCAGCACTCATAAGGGATGCAGGTGCCACAGGCGGTGACATGCCACAGGTGCTAACCTAACATGCCACGCCACAATGCCAGCCCCTCATATTTCTCTCAGTCAAGTGTGAACTCAGTTTAAAATATTCTGAAATTACTTCTTTAACCGAAAGGTAGAAACTGTAAGTGAACACTGATTCTGAAAACCACATCATCATGAGGGAGACGACGCAGCTGCCCCAAAGAGAAAGCCCCCAGCGCTGTGAATTCCAGCCCACCACCAATGCAGCTGCCCCAAGAGAAAGCCCCAGCGCTGTGAATTCCAGCCCACCACCAATGCAGCTGCCCCAAGAGAAAGCCCCCAATGCTGTGAATTCCAGCCCACCACCAATGCAGCTGCCCCAAGAGAAAGCCCCCAGTGCTGTGAAGTCCAGCCCACCACCAATGCAGCTGCCCCAAGAGAAAGCCCCCAGTGCTGTGAAGTCCAGCCCACCACCAATGCAGCTGCCCCAAAGAGAAAGCCCCCAGCACTGTGAATTCCAGCCCACCACCAATGCAGCTGCCCCAAGAGAAAGCCCCCAGTGCTGTGAATTCCAGCCCACCACCAGTGCAGCTGCCCCAGGAGAAAGCCCCCAGTGCTGTGAAGTCCAGCCCACCACCAATGCAGCTGCCCCAAGAGAAAGCCCCCAGTGCTGTGAAGTCCAGCCCACACCAGTGCAGCTGCCTAATCCAACTTCCCAGGCCTGACCCAGAGGCCAGCACAGGCACCTGGAGCAGAATGACTCCTGAGTCAGCTGGGAATAGTAACAGTATGGACTTAGTGATGAAAGTGGATATCTCGCTTGAAAAACAAAGACAAAACCTGTTGCCCACGGGCAGCTATGTAGCACAGGGGTTAGGTCACTGCTTCAGATAAGCGCATCCCATATCCAAGTGTGTGGTTCAAGTCCCAGCCACTCCACTCTGATCCATTTTCCTGGAAATGTGTCCCCTGGGAAGCAGCAGAAGATGGCCCAAATACTTGGGTCCCTGCACCCACACAGGAGACCCAGACTTGAGTTCTGTGTCCCCGGCTTTGCCTGGTCCAAACTTGGCTGTTGAAAGCATTACAGAGTAAACCAGCAAATGGATAATTCTTTCTATTTCTCCTTCTGTGCCTTTGAAATAAAGTGAAAATAAGTAAAAATGTAAAAGGAGATTGTTGGGGCCAGTGCTGTGGCATAGCAGATAAAGCTGCCGCCTACAACACTGGCATCCCGTATGGGTGCTGGCTCATGCCCCAGCTGTCCCACTTTAGATCCTGCTCCCTGCTAATGCACCTGGGAAAAGCAACGGAAGATAGCCCAAGTATCTGGGCCCCTGCCACCTACGTAGGAGACCTGGATGAAGCTCCTGGCTCCTGGCTTTGGCCTGACTCAGTCCTGGCCATTGTGGCCATCTGATGAGTGAACCAGCAGACGGAAAATGTGTCTGTGTCTGTGTGTGGGTTTGTGTGTGTGTGTGTGTGTGTTTCTGTAACTCTTTCAAATAAATTCTTTAAAAAATAAAAAAAAGTGTATTACAATGTCATTTAAAATTTTCTCAAAATTGTCATGAATTTAGAAAGACAATTAAATAAGTGAACAAAGAAAAACATCCAAAATCAACTTCATAAATTAATTTCAGAAAGAAAATACCAGCATACTCCCAAGACATGTGCTCTCGCCTTGAGATTGGTAAATATGTTAGAGTTATTAAAATACTATGTCCTACACATGGAAAAATGAACCTCAGAAGAACTGTTGCATCTTCGGGAAAACGCAACTCTACCAGGCCACCGAGGATCTTAAGTGGCATTTCCACCTCACAGTAACCTACTCTCCCTCCCCAGTGAGACAGAATGCGCACACAGGAAAAGCAAACCCAATGCTAGAACAAGCACCACCGCACCCGAGGGAAGGAGGTGGGGCTGCAACACCACCACACCCACCTGTGCTGGAGGAGCCCCGCCTTGCTTGGCCCGAGGGCCCTCGCCTGGGGCAGGCATTGGCTCCAGGAAAGAGCCAGTGTGGGGAAAGCACAGCCACGTGGAATTTCGGAGCTGTGCACATCCATCCCCAGCCCTCAGGGCACCAGGAGCTCCCACAGCTCTGGGCCTGCTCTCTCAGGGCAGCACAGGGCCCTCCCAACCCCACCATCTGAGAGCAGGTGAATTCACACTGTCTGGGAACAGCAAGGCTCAGGTTCCAAACATATGTCGAATTTCAAGTCACAGCCTTCGAAGACAGCAGCTGTTAAGTGAACCCTTCCCGTGTGTGGACGGGTGTGGACAGGAGGGCACACTGATTCAGGGCCCCACAGCGTCCCTCCCTGGGGAGGGGCACGTGCCTGGGGAGCCTGGGCGACACGCAGCCTATTCACAGAGAGCAGGAAGGCCTTTAACTGTACCTGTGAGCACAGACGAACTGTACAGCAATGACCCCCGGGAAAGGTCCCAGACCTTTGGACAAACACAGGTTTCTTTAGAAGACGGAAAATGTTGCCATTTTTGCTCTAAGTTGAACTAAAAGTTGTACCTAATCACAACTGACCTACATGAATGGTTATCTAAAAGAAAATAATAAGTGTTATATAAATAATAAAACTATGGAAACACAATCAAAGTGGCAGAATCATAACAAAAAATAACAATAAAGTTAAAACACTTCCAAAAATAACACATGTAGATTTCAAGGAAGTTGGAAGCCGCAAAGCTAGGACAAGGTTAGAAAGGCTTCCAAGAGCACGTGGAGAGGGAGACAGCGCGGCCACCGCGGCCCGGGGCTGAGTGCGGACGGCAGGGCTGCTCGCTTGCTGGGGACCCGCTTGCCCACCGTCAGGACCACCTCCAGTGCTTCCCGAGTCGTCTCCTCTCACGCAGGCCCCACCGCCCCCGTTCCAGCCACGGAAGGCAGGGCACAACAGAGCTGACTCACGCCACGGTCGCGGGTTAGGGGGCCCCACCGCCCCCATTCCAGCCACGGAAGGCAGGGCACAACAGAGCTGACTCACGCCACAGTCGCGGGTTAGGGGGCCCCGGCGTTCACTGGAGCGCAGACCACTGCACGGGGCAGGGAAATTCCACACCTTTAGGTGGCTTAAAGGGTTCTACCAGGTGGGAGGACATTTTCACCACCTCTCTCATCTAAGGTGCATTAACTCCCCACCGGCTTCTCTTCTCAGAGTTCAAGGTACAGTGCCCTCTCTTTGTTAGTTAGATAACAGTGTAGCCAACTTGGAGCTCAGGGAACTGAGCTTGCATTTCCGTTAATTCTTTTGGAAAGCCTCCGTCAGCTCTGGCGAGTCATGTGAGGCCGGAAGCTGGTTTTCCTGCTCTGAGTCCACGTGGACTTAGCTCTGGGACCCGGGTCTGTGGAGGGCCCTGTAGTTGATCCCAGCCAGTGAGAGTATGCAGGGTCCTAAGCCAGCCCTCCAGCCAGCCCAGTGACTCCAGCCCAAACTTTACCAGGATTGCTTTTCTGCACTGGAATTCAGGACGCTGGCCTTCTTACAGAAACGTGGCCCGGTGGTCAAGACACCCGCATTCCATATCAGAGTGCTCGGGCTGGAGCCCCAGACCACTCCGTACTCCAACCGCCCACTAAGGTAGACCCTGGGGGACAACAGTGATGACTCAAAGTAGTTGGGTTCTTGACATCCACGTGGGAGATCTACGTTGAGTTCTGGGCGCCTGGCATCGGCCTGGCCCAGGCCCAGGTGGGGCGAGCATATGGGGAATGAAACGGCAGAGAGGGAATCTTTCTCTCTCTTTCTCGCTCACTCGCTCGCTCTCTTTTTCTCCCTCCTCTTCCTCCTTCTTCCTTTCTCTCAAATAACTGAATTTTTTTAGTTACACGCCAGTGACCACAAACCAAAAGCAGCACACCCCTGTCTATGTCACAGGTTATTGTCCAGGGTCCACACTTTACCTTAAAGCTTCTGTCTTCAGACACCGAGATGACCACCTCTGCTTGCCAAGGACAGAACTCAACGGCAGTCACCGGGCCCACGTGGCCCTGCAGTTCGCCCAGGACGGACTGATCCTAACAGGATTTGTGAAGGAAGCTTAGTAACACAATTTCCTGATTTCGCTCGCAAGGTTGCATGTATATCACAGTAAAGTTCTTGTTAAAGCAAATTCCACCTTACATAACCAGCTCCTCCAAATCTGGAATCATCTGTACAAACTCAGATGCCTGAGCTACAAGGAAGGACAGGCAGCCTGATGGAGGGAAGGCAGGGACTCAGTGAGGCCAGCCTGCGCGCGGTTTCCCACCTCCCTCTGCCTCTGGCCCAAGGGTACTTCTGCCAGGGCGCCCGAGTGGCCTGAGGGAGCTGGAGGATGTGCCACTCTGCTGTCCTCTAACCAGGCAGGCAGGCAGCGAGCCCCTACCCTCCAGCAATCAGAATGTATCTCCTCTTATCTGCCAATCAATTCACCAGTCAGCGTATCCCCTCCTCCAGCAATCAGAATGTGCCTTAATTTCCTTCAGTCTGTGAGTCAGGAGGGAAATCTTTCTTCGTAAGTCAGAACGCATCTTCGCTACACTCTCATCAGTGTCAGTCGATCACTAAATCTCCCTTCCTCCATCAGATTCACCGTCCACTATTCTTCAGTCAGTAAATCTCCATCAGTCACAATGTATCTCCCCTTATTCCCCAGTCAATAAATCACCATTCCTCCACGAGTGGACTGACTGTATCTTCCTTTACCCTCCAACCAACCACTCAATAAATCCCATTCCTCCATCAATCAGAATGTATCTTCTGATACGCTCCGTTCAGTGAGTCAGCCCGTGACTCAGACGATCTTCCTCCAGTATCACACTGTATCTTCTCTTTCCCTCCAGTCAGTGACACACTTTCCTCCATCGACCAGAAAGTGTCCTGAACCATCCCCTATCAGTCAGCAAATCCCCATTCCTCCATCAATCAGAATCTATCTCCCTTTGTCATCCAATCAATGAGTCAGGCACTAAATTCTCCTTCCTCCAACAATAAGAATGAGTCTTGCTGTCTATCATCCAATCAGTCAGTGAATCTCCCTTCCTCCATCATTGAGAATATATCAACTCTTATCTTTCAGTCAGTAAATCCCCCTTCCTTCATCAATCAAAATGTATCTTCCATTATCCTTCAATCAATTATCAGTCATTAAGTCTGGAAATCCCAATTCCTGCATCAATCAAAATGTATTTTTCTTATCCTCCAATCAATAAATCCTCCTTCCTCCAACAATCAGAATATATCTTGTCACCTATCACCCACAAGTCAGCCAGTAAATCCCCTTCCTCCATCAATCAGAATGTATCTATCCTGTGGTCTACCTCCTTCCATGTCTACTGTCTATACTGATAGACGCTGATATTAACAAGACATGTATTAATGGCCACTCATGAGTTGCTTTTCCTCCTTACATCCGTAAAAGTCCTTCCATCCCACCAGGCCCCTGGAAGCCGCTGTGCAGCTGGAATTCCATGCCATGCTTGACAAACAGGGCGCACAGCACACGGGGCCTGAGAGTCGGTCTCTTCCTGCTGAGTACTCCAGTGGGATTCCAGGACCCTAGCAGGCAGGGCACTTTCCTTGAACTTGTTCAGTATTCAATTTAGACAAGAAAAATAATATGCAGAGAATTACAGAGACTTAACTTACATCAGTACAATGCTGAAAGACTCTTTTTGTAAGTTTATTCATTTTTATCATTTGATTGGAAGGCAGATTGACAGAGATAGAGAGAGGCGGGTCTTCCATCTGCTGCTTCTCTCTCCAGTTACCCGTAACAGCTGCAAGGTCAGGCCAAAGCCAGGAGCACCACACTCCACCTGTGTCTCCCATGTGGGTGGCAGGGACACAAGTTCTTGAGCCGTCACTGCTGACCCCAGGATGTGCATGAGCAGGAAGCTGGACTGGAAGTGGAACCACGCACTCTGACTGGGAATAGCTGTCCCACACAGCAGCTGAACCCACTGCACCACAATGTCTACCCTGAAGGACTTCCTTTAATAAAACAACACACAGCTATTGACAGCCACAACTTAGACACAATGCGGGGTGCATTATGCCAATCACCCTCAGATTGTTCAAAATAAAAACAGCAACAGCTAGGAGACCGCCATGGACTTTCACTCCTTCCAGCCTCCATAAACAAATGTGACAACTGCACGTGGATAACATCATATACTGAAAAATACTCCAGGTTGCTCCCTCGTGCTATTTCATGGCTATATCTCATGTGGGCCATAAAGTGCCTTTACCGAAAGGGACTCCACATTCACGGAACACATCTCACGAGCTGTTTACTTGCTGAGTATTCTGCATCGTCAACTACGTGTGGCTCTATTTTCATAAATCACTCTATGAACCTGCTGAGGAAGCAGCACAGCGGCTCACAGCGGCTCCCTCTGTGTCTGCAACATCTGGTTGTCTCACTTTACTTTCATGGACTGTTCTAGAATGTAGCCAAGATCTCGCTCCTATTTCTTCCAACATTAATTGTTTTAAGTGTCTCACTAATTCATTTGGTTTTCCTTTTCCTGCCATAAGATGTTAATTATTTCCATTTTAATGGTTAGTTCGCAGGATGCTTGCACAAAACATTGGTTTTCCTAATCTCCTAAAATTTTAAAATGTTGTTTAAAATGGGAGGGCAGACATGCCTCAGGTGATCACTGACGTCATAAGAGTGTCAATTGTTAAATCAACAACAGGAGTCACTGTGCACTCACTCCTCGTGTAGGATCTCTGTCTTTAATGTGTTGTACTATGTGAATTAATGCTATAACTAGTACTCAAACAGTACTTTATACCTTGTGTCTGTGTGGGTGCAAACTGTTGAAATCTTTACTTAGTATATACAAAGCTGATCTTCTGTATTAAAGATAATTGAAAATGAATCTTGATGAAGAATGGGATGGGAGAGGGGATGGTTGCGGGTGGGAGGGTGGTTATGGGGGGGAAGCCGCTATAATCCAAAAGTTGTACTTTGGAATTTATATTCATTAAATAAAAGCTAAGACAACGGGAGGGCAGAGAAGAATAACTAAAAGGCAGCAGGCTCTCGGCCTTGTGCTCCAGCAATGCCGTGGCGATGTGAGCTCTTACCTCAGTATCTCGCACCAGTACTCTGTTCCCAGCACCCATTGCCACAGCGTGATCATCCGGGCCAAACCTTAAGCACAGCACCTTTCCCAAAAGGGTGCCCAAGACAGTTGCTCGAGGAGTCAGTCCTAGAACAAGTTCCAGG